ATTTACCCCTGCCCCATTTACCCCTGCCCCATTTACCCTGCCCATTTACCCCTGCCCCATTTACCCCTGCCCCATTTACCCCTGCCCCATTTACCCCTGCCCCATTTACCCCTGCCCCATTTACCCCTGCCCCATTTACCCCTGCCCCATTTACCCCTGCCCCATTTACCCCTGCCCCATTTACCCCTGCCCCATTTACCCCTGCCCCATTTACCCCTGCCCCATTTACCCTGCCCCATTTACCCCTGCCCCATTTACCCCTGCCCCATTTACCCCTGCCCCATTTACCCCTGCCCCATTTACCCCTGCCCCATTTACCCCTGCCCCATTTACCCCTGCCCCATTTACCCCTGCCCCATTTACCCCTGCCCCATTTACCCCTGCCCCATTTACCCCTGCCCCATTTACCCCTGCCCCATTTACCCCTGCCCCATTTACCCCTGCCCCATTTACCCCTGCCCCATTTACCCCTGCCCCATTTACCCCTGCCCCATTTACCCCTGCCCCACCCCATTTACCCCTGCCCCATTTACCCCTGCCCCATTTACCCCTGCCCCATTTACCCCTGCCCCATTTACCCCTGCCCCATTTACCCTGCCCCATTTACCCTGCCCCATTTACCCCTGCCCCATTTACCCCTGCCCCATTTACCCCTGCCCCATTTACCCCTGCCCCATTTACCCCTGCCCCATTTACCCCTGCCCCATTTACCCCTGCCCCATTTACCCCTGCCCCATTTACCCCTGCCCCATTTACCCCTGCCCCATTTACCCCTGCCCCATTTACCCCTGCCCCATTTACCCCTGCCCCATTTACCCCTGCCCCATTTACCCCTGCCCCATTTACCCCTGCCCCATTTACCCCTGCCCCATTTACCCCTGCCCCATTTACCCCTGCCCCATTTACCCTGCCCCATTTACCCCTGCCCCATTTACCCCTGCCCCATTTACCCCTGCCCCATTTACCCCTGCCCCATTTACCCCTGCCCCATTTACCCCTGCCCCATTTACTCCCTGCCCCATTTACCCCTGCCCCATTTACCCCTGCCCCATTTACCCCTGCCCCATTTACCCCTGCCCCATTTACCCCTGCCCCATTTACCCTGCCCCATTTACCCCTGCCCCATTTACCCCTGCCCCATTTACCCCTGCCCCATTTACCCCTGCCCCATTTACCCCTGCCCCATTTACCCCTGCCCCATTTACCCCTGCCCCATTTACCCCTGCCCCATTTACCCCTGCCCCATTTACCCCTGCCCCATTTACCCCTGCCCCATTTACCCCTGCCCCATTTACCCCTGCCCCATTTACCCCTGCCCCATTTACCCCTGCCCCATTTACCCCTGCCCCATTTACCCCTGCCCCATTTACCCCTGCCCCATTTACCCCTGCCCCATTTACCCCTGCCCCATTTACTCCTGCCCCATTTACCCCTGCCCCATTTACCCCTGCCCCATTTACTCCTGCCCCATTTACCCCTGCCCCATTTACCCCTGCCCCATTTACCCCTGCCCCATTTACTCCTGCCCCATTTACCCCTGCCCCATTTACCCCTGCCCCATTTACCCCTGCCCCATTTACCCCTGCCCCATTTACCCCTGCCCCATTTACCCCTGCCCCATTTACCCCTGCCCCATTTACCCCTGCCCCATTTACCCCTGCCCCATTTACCCCTGCCCCATTTACCCCTGCCCCATTTACCCCTGCCCCATTTACCCCTGCCCCATTTACCCCTGCCCCATTTACCCCTGCCCCATTTACCCCTGCCCCATTTACCCCTGCCCCATTTACCCCTGCCCCATTTACCCCTGCCCCATTTACCCCTGCCCCATTTACCCCTGCCCCATTTACCCCTGCCCCATTTACCCCTGCCCCATTTACCCCTGCCCCATTTACTCCTGCCCCATTTACCCCTGCCCCATTTACCCTGCCCCATTTACCCCTGCCCCATTTACCCCTGCCCCATTTACCCCTGCCCCATTTACCCCTGCCCCATTTACCCCTGCCCCATTTACCCCTGCCCCATTTACCCCTGCCCCATTTACCCCTGCCCCATTTACCCCTGCCCCATTTACCCCTGCCCCATTTACCCCTGCCCCATTTACCCCTGCCCCAGTTACCCCTGCCCCATTTACCCCTGCCCCATTTACCCCTGCCCCATTTACCCCTGCCCCATTTACCCCTGCCCCATTTACCCCTGCCCCATTTACCCCTGCCCCATTTACCCCCTGCCCCATTTACCCCTGCCCCATTTACCCCTGCCCCATTTACCCCTGCCCCATTTACCCCTGCCCCATTTACCCCTGCCCCATTTACCCCTGCCCCATTTACCCCTGCCCCATTTACCCTGCCCCATTTACCCCTGCCCCATTTACCCCTGCCCCATTTACCCCTGCCCCATTTACCCCTGCCCCATTTACCCCTGCCCCATTTACCCCTGCCCCATTTACCCCTGCCCCATTTACCCCTGCCCCATTTACCCCTGCCCCATTTACCCCTGCCCCATTTACCCCTGCCCCATTTACCCCTGCCCCATTTACCCCTGCCCCATTTACCCCTGCCCCATTTACCCCTGCCCCATTTACCCCTGCCCCATTTACCCCTGCCCCATTTACCCCTGCCCCATTTACCCCTGCCCCATTTACCCCTGCCCCATTTACCCCTGCCCCATTTACCCCTGCCCCATTTACCCCTGCCCCATTTACCCCTGCCCCATTTACTCCTGCCCCATTTACCCCTGCCCCATTTACCCCTGCCCCATTTACTCCTGCCCCATTTACCCCTGCCCCATTTACCCCTGCCCCATTTACCCCTGCCCCATTTACCCTGCCCCATTTACCCCTGCCCCATTTACCCCTGCCCCATTTACCCCTGCCCCATTTACCCCTGCCCCATTTACCCCTGCCCCATTTACCCCTGCCCCATTTACCCCTGCCCCATTTACCCCTGCCCCATTTACCCCTGCCCCATTTACCCCTGCCCCATTTACCCCTGCCCCATTTACCCCTGCCCCATTTACCCCTGCCCCATTTACCCCTGCCCCATTTACCCCTGCCCCATTTACCCCTGCCCCCATTTAACCCCTGCCCCATTTACCCCTGCCCCATTTACCCCTGCCCCATTTACCCCTGCCCCATTTACCCCTGCCCCATTTACCCCTGCCCCATTTACCCCTGCCCCATTTACCCCTGCCCCATTTACCCCTGCCCCATTTACCCCCTGCCCCATTTACCCCTGCCCCATTTACCCCTGCCCCATTTACTCCCTGCCCCATTTACCCCTGCCCCCATTTACCCCTGCCCCATTTACCCCTGCCCCATTTACCCCTGCCCCATTTACCCCTGCCCCATTTACCCCTGCCCCATTTACCCCTGCCCCATTTACCCCTGCCCCATTTACCCCTGCCCCATTTACCCCCTGCCCCATTTACCCCTGCCCCATTTACCCCTGCCCCATTTACCCCTGCCCCATTTACCCCTGCCCCATTTACCCCTGCCCCATTTACCCCTGCCCCATTTACCCCTGCCCCATTTACCCCTGCCCCATTTACCCCTGCCCATTTACCCCTGCCCCAGTTACCCCTGCCCCATTTACCCCTGCCCCATTTACCCCTGCCCCATTTACCCCTGCCCCATTTACCCCTGCCCCATTTACCCCTGCCCCATTTACCCCTGCCCCAGTTACCCCTGCCCCATTTACCCCTGCCCCATTTACCCCTGCCCCATTTACCCCTGCCCCATTTACCCCTGCCCCATTTACCCCTGCCCCATTTACCCCTGCCCCATTTACCCCTGCCCCATTTACCCCTGCCCCATTTACCCCTGCCCCATTTACCCCTGCCCCATTTACCCCTGCCCCATTTACCCCTGCCCCATTTACCCCTGCCCCATTTCCCCCTCCTCCCCCACTCCCACCCTGCCGCCACCAGGTGATCACGAACCTCACTCGGGCGGGGTGCAAGACAATGGAGGCCGCATTCGTGCTGCGGCACGAGGATGTGCCGCGAGTGAAGGCCATCACACACGCACTCACTGCCTCCTCCCTTGTCTGCCACCCCTGCCACCCCTCCTCCTGCCCACTTCCCCCCCGCCCGTTGCAACCACCTCCGCCACCCCCCAGGTCATCACAAACCTCACGCGGGCGGGGTGCAAGACACTGGAGGCCGCGTTCGTGCTGCGGCATGAGGACGTGCCGCGAGGAAGGCATCACACACGCACTCACGGCCTACCTGCTTCACCCTTCGCCCCCCCTCCTCCCTCACGACACATCCACCACCCCTCGGCTCTTGCCCCACCAACACCCTTCTCCTGCCGCACTGTCCCTCCTCCTACCTCACCCCCACCCCATCTCCCCCCATCTCCCCCCCCCCCAGGTCATCACAAACCCCTGCCCCATTTACCCCTGCCCCATTTACCCCTGCCCCATTTACCCCTGCCCCATTTACCCATGCCCCATTTACCCCTGCCCCATTTACCCCTGCCCCATTTACCCCTGCCCCATTTACCCCTGCCCCATTTACCCCTGCCCCATTTCCCCCTCCTCCCCCACTCCCACCCTGCCGCCACCAGGTGATCACGAACCTCACTCGGGCGGGGTGCAAGACAATGGAGGCCGCATTCGTGCTGCGGCACGAGGATGTGCCGCGAGTGAAGGCCATCACACACGCACTCACTGCCTCCTCCCTTGTCTGCCACCCCTGCCACCCCTCCTCCTGCCCACTTCCCCCCCGCCCGTTGCAACCACCTCCGCCACCCCCCAGGTCATCACAAACCTCACGCGGGCGGGGTGCAAGACACTGGAGGCCGCGTTCGTGCTGTGGCATGAGGACGTGCCGCGAGGAAGGCATCACACACGCACTCACGGCCTACCTGCTTCACCCTTCGCCCCCCTCCTCCCTCATGAGACATCCACCACCCCTCGGCTCTTGCCCCACCAACACCCTTCTCCTGCCCCACTGTTCCTCCTCCTACCTCACCCCCACCCCATCTCCCCCCCCCCCAGGTCATCACAAACCTCACGCGGGCGGGGTGCAAGACACTGGAGGCCGCGTTCGTGCTGCGGCATGAGGACGTGCCGCGAGTGAAGGCCATCACACACGCGCTCACTGCCTACCTGCAGCAGCACCCAAGGGTGGACAAAAGCAAGGGCCCCGCCATGGGGTACCTCAAGCAGCTCACCGGGTCGGGGCTGCAGATTGGCGTGGTTGCTTCCATTAAAGACCAAGTGAGTGTGGGCGAGGTTCAGTGGGTGGGTGCATGGGATGGGGTGTGCATGGGCGGGGTGGTTGGTGTATCAACCATGCGTGAATGAATGGCAGCACTGCCATCATCCGCAGCAGCACCCCCGCGTGGACCGCTCAAAGGGCCCCGTCATGGGGTACCTGAAGCAGCTCACTGGCTCAGGGCTGCAGATTGGAGTTGTGGCTTCCATTAAAGACATGGTGGGTAGGGCGGGTTGAGAGGGATGGTGGGCGGGATGGTAAGGGACGCAAGGGTGGAGCGCAGCAAGGGCCCCGCCATGGGGTACCTGAAGCAGCTCACCGGGTCGGGGCTGCAGATCGGAGTTGTGGCGTCTATCAAAGACATGGTGGGCGCATGGGGGGTGGGATGAGGGAAGGGATGGGAGGGGAGATTGGTGCCAAGGGCCCCGCCATGGGGTACCTGAAGGAGCTCACTGGCTCGGGGCTGCAGATCGGAGTTGTGGCGTCTATCAAAGACATGGTGCGTGGTGAAGAGGGGATGGGGGGGCGCATGGGGGAAGGGTGGTGTGGGGAGGCGTGGGGAGAGGGATGGGGGTGCATGCGGTACCTGAAGCAGCTCACGGGTTCGGGGCTGCAGATCGGTGTTGTGGCTTCCATTAAAGACTTGGTGCTTGGCATGGTGGGTAGGATGGGGGGGCGCACGGGGGGAGGGATGGCGGGAGGGATGGCGGGAGGGATGGGGGGTAATGGGGGGGTGATGGGGTACATGAAGCAGCTCACCGGCTCGGGGCTTCAGATTGGAGTCGTGGCGTCTATCAAAGACATGGTGGGCGGTGGGAATGGTTACTGGGTGGTTGCGCGGGAGGGGGGGTGCATGCGCGGGATGGGGGGTGCATTTGCGGGATGTGGGATGGTGTGTGCATGGCAGGCTCCCTCCCACTTGCTACCTCCTTTCACTCTTGTGCCATGAACCCCATCTCGCCTTTCACTCTTGTGCCATGAACCCCATCTCGCCTTTCACTCTTGTGCCATGAACCCCATCTCGCCTTTCACTCTTGTGCCATGAACCCCATCTCGCCTTTCACTCTTGTGCCATGAACCCCATCTCGCCTTTCACTCTTGTGCCATGAACCCCATCTCGCCTTTCACTCTTGTGCCATGAACCCCATCTCGCCTTTCACTCTTGTGCCATGAACCCCATCTCGCCTTTCACTCTTGTGCCATGAACCCCATCTCGCCTTTCACTCTTGTGCCATGAACCCCATCTCGCCTTTCACTCTTGTGCCATGAACCCCATCTCGCCTTTCACTCTTGTGCCATGAACCCCATCTCGCCTTTCACTCTTGTGCCATGAACCCCATCTCGCCTTTCACTCTTGTGCCATGAACCCCATCTCGCCTTTCACTCTTGTGCCATGAACCCCATCTCGCCTTTCACTCTTGTGCCATGAACCCCATCTCGCCTTTCACTCTTGTGCCATGAACCCCATCTCGCCTTTCACTCTTGTGCCATGAACCCCATCTCGCCTTTCACTCTTGTGCCATGAACCCCATCTCGCCTTTCACTCTTGTGCCATGAACCCCATCTCGCCTTTCACTCTTGTGCCATGAACCCCATCTCGCCTTTCCCCTCCAATCCACACACAGAGCAAGGGCAAGTTCCTACCGGTGCAGCAGGAGATACTGGAGAAGAGCGTGGAGATCATTCTAGCGGAGGGCGCGCTGCTGGGCGAGAGCGCTCCCTATGTGCCCTCCGCCTCCGATGGCGCCGCTGCCTCCACCTATGCTGCGTAAGACCTAAGACCCCTCCCCCTCTCCTCCTATGCCGCGTAAGACCTAAGACTCCTCGCCCTCTCCTCCTATGTGTGGAGATCATTCCAGCGGAGGGGGCACTGCTGGGCGAGAGCGCTCCCTTTGAGCCCTCTGCTGCCTCCGATGGCGCCGCTGCCTCCTCTTATGCCGCGTAAGACCTAAGACCCCACCCCCTCTCCTCCTATGTCACGAAACACAATGCATTACACATGACCATGCCACACATGACCATGCCACACATGACCATGCCACACATGACCATTCCACACATGACCATGCCACCTGCTCGCCTGTGCGCACACCGCCGCTGCCCGTCCTGCACCCATCTCTTCCCCCCCTGCCAGGCGCAAGAACCTCTTGTGGCAACGCCGCCGCCACAGTGCCAAGCAGTGAGGGAAGTCCAATAGACACGCCACAACGCCCCTACCCCGTCCTGCACCCCTCTTTCCCCCCTGCCAGGCGCAAGAACCTCATGTGGCAACGAGCTGACTTTTGAGTCAAAAGTCACGCTGCCCATGATGCACCCATCTCCCCCCCCCTCCCCTCAGGCGCAAGAACCTCCTGTGGCAACGCCGCCGCCGCAGCGCCGCACTCCAGTAGACACCACAGCGCTGGGGGCATGGCACAGCGCTGGGGGCATGGCACAGCAGTGAGGGCACAGCAGAGCACAGCACAGCGCTGTGCTGTGATGGGGAAATACACAGGGGCAGCATGATTAGTGCGTGTTGGGGTGTCCATAATGTCACGTAACCCGCACAGGACATAAGGAGAAGTGGGATGTAAAGTCTGGGTAACACAGCAGCTACAGGGGTATGGGTGACGAATACGGTAGCTGTTTTGGTTCCCTTGTAAACCAAGCAGGCGTGTGGTCCGAGGAACAACGTTGATTACAAATAGTTTGGGGGGGATCTCTGGGAGAAGTACTGATAGTTGGGATTGGGAAACGTGAAGTGGACAAGGCTGTTGGTAGCAGAGCCTCGAGAGGTGAGCAGGAAGAATGGGAGGATGGGCCAGAGTGGCTGGCAGGGCAAGGCAGCATGCACCAGGGGCTTGCTGCCAATCCAGGCGAGGGATGAGTGCGCCATCCCAACCTGAGGTCGTGTGACCGGCCAGTCCCTCAACCCGGAGGGATTTCAGGAGGGCTGGCTGGCTGGCAGCTAGGTACTAGTTGAGCGAGCATCGCAGTGGAGTAGGATTCGCTTACGGTAGATTCTTGTTTACTTAATGCTATACCGGAGCTTTGCTTCACTGAATCACTGGTCTGGAACAAGCTCAGAACACGGACCGAACTGAGGCAGCCCACCCCTTGCGTCGTCAGGAGGGGAGTAGCTTGGCCTCTTGTGTGTAACGTGTGCTGAAACGGACGTGGCTAAGGAAGGGTAGAGACCGAAGACCAGTGAATGGGGAGGGGAGGGGAGGGGACCCACTGGAGGGAACAGGAGGACGACACTTACAATAGAGCAGTCACCCATTGCGTTGGTATGTGCTAGGTGTTCGGTACAGTTTGTATGGGTTCAAGCAGTGCAATGCAAATGTGATGTGACCAACCCCATAAATGGTTTTATTGCTCAAGTACGGTAGGTGAAATATATACAATGAGGAGCAAACAACTAGAGCGCCTCTCCCAGCAGGAATTGCGCATGGTTAGCAGCCAAACACTACCACCAATGATGGGAAAATAACTTCGCAGCTGCACACACCAGCAGCAGCAGCAGTCCTGCGCGTGCCCCTCCTCTCTCAGCAGCAGTTGGCAGCGCGCTTGCACCGCCACGCTTTGGCCCGCGCCTCTCTTCGCCTCCGCTTCCCCTTCACCCTCCCCACCTCCCCACCTCCCCCTCCCGCCATCGAGGTGACTTTTGAGTCGACACCTCCATCAGCAGCAGTTAGCAGCGCGCTTGCACCGCCACGCCTTGGCCCGCGCCTCCTTTCTCCTCCACTTCTTCCCCTCCATCCTCCCACCCTCCCCCTCCCGCCCTCGCTTGCCACCACCCCCCTTGTCCTTCCCCCTGCCCTCCCATCTCCCCGCCTCCCCATCTGCACCCCTCCCTCTGCCCATCCGTGTGCCCGCCTCTCTGCCATTGCTTCTGCTCCCCAACCTGCTGCCATGGCTGCCATCACCATGCATTGCTGCTGCACCACAGTCATTCAAGCCCATGCGCCCATCCCCATCCTCTCCCTCCACCCCTTGCTGCTCACCCTCCCCACTCACCTCACTCTCTCCCTCCTCTCCCACACTCTCCACCTCTCCCCCCACCGTCCCCTCCACCTCTTCCCCTGCCTCCACCTCAGCCATGTGCGCATCGCCGTCCCCTCCCTCATGTCTGCCCTCTCGTGTCATCCCCTCCTCCCCTCTCCCGTCTCCTCCCACTTCTCCTCGCTCCTCTCCACTTTCCTCTCCTTCCCCCACTCCCCTCTGCTGCGTCTCATCCCCTGCCACTCCCACGCTATCCTCCTCCCTCTCCTCCTCCCTCTCATTCTCTCCTTCCCCTGCTCCCTCCCCCTCCCCCTGTGCCTGCCCCAGTGACCCCAAGCCTTCCTCCCCACCTGCCCTCTCTCCCTCTGCCTCCATCCCGCCTTCCCTTTCCCCCGCGACTTCTCCCCCCTCCCCTCCCGCGCCTGCTGCTCCTCCCTCCAATCCCCCAGCCTCCGCACCGCCCCTGTCTGCCCCACTCGCACCCCCCCCAGCAGCCTCTTCTCCTTCCGCCCCTCCACCGCCTGCTTCCGTCCCCCCCTGAACCCCCGCTCCCCCCGCTCCTCCCCCTCTCGCCCTCCCCGCGCGCCTCTTCCTGGGCTTCACCCCCACGAACTCGCCCCCTCCGCGCCTCCCCCGCACCACGTGCACGCTGCGCCCGCACACGCCCACCTCCGCGTCGTCCCCCACCGCCGCGCACCCCCACACATCCAGGTGGCGCAGCCCCTCCGCGCGCGCCAGCCCCGCGGGCAGCTCCGCCAGCGCGGAGCACTCGCGCAGGTGCAGGGAATGCAGCGCGCGGACGGACCCGAGGTCGGGGGGGAGCGCGGCGAGCGACGGGCAGTACGAGAGCGAGAGGACGCGGAGCGCGGGCAGGCGGGGGAGCGACGCGGGAAGGCGCGCGAAGGCGCGGCAGTGGTTGATCGCGAGGCGCGCGAGGCGCGGCAGCGAAGCGAAGTCGTCGGGGAGGTGCGTGAGGAAGTCGCAGCTAGTGACGTCGAGCGACTCGAGCGCGGGAAGGTGCGCGAGGGACGCGGGGAGGCGGGCGAGCGCGGAGCAGCGCTCGAGGGCGAGGCGCTTGAGCGCGCGCAGCTGGCCGATGTCGTCCGGGAGGGCGCGCAGCGCAGAGCACGTAATGAGGGAGAGCGTGTGGAGGCGCGGGAGGGCGCAGAGGGACGCGGGGAGCGCGGCGAGGGAGAGGCAGTCCGAGACGCGCAGCTCCTCCAGACACGTCAGCCCGTCCAGTGTGTCCGGGAGCGCCGCAATTGGCACGTTCGTTATAGTCAGCTCCTTTAACGCACCCAGCTGGCCGATGGAATTCGGCAGAGCGGTGAGCGCGCCGCACGAGGTCATGCTGAGGCGCGTCAGCGCGCAGAGCCCGCTTATGCCGGCGGGAATGGCGGTGAGCGCGGTACACCGCAGCACGACCAGCGTCTGCAGCGCCGTAAGGCGGCCGAGCGACGCGGGCAGGCTCCGCAGCGCGGGGCAGTCCTCCAGCTCGAACGACTCGAGCTCCGCCAGCTGGCCGAGCGATCCGGGAATCGAGGAGAGCTCGGACGCGATAGAGATTTTGAGCGCGCGGAGGGCGGAGAGCGCGGAGAGCGCGGGGGGGAGGCGCTCGATGTGCATCAGGCGGACGAGCGAGAGCGACGTGAGCGCGGTGAGGCGGCAGACGACGGGGGGGAAGGAGTAGAGCGCGGAGAGGTCCGACAGCGTGAGCGCGCGCAGGGACGGCGCGAGCGCGGCGAGCGCAGGAGGAAGGTGGGTGAGGCGCGAGCAGGATTGGAGCGTGAGCGACTGCAGCGACGAGAGGCGCGCGACGCGCGCGGGGAGCGCGACGAGCTGCGTGAAGCCGTGCAGCCCCAGGTGCGTGAGCGCCGGCAGCGCCCACAGCGCGGTCGGCAGGCGGCGCAGTCGGCCCAGCGGCGCGCGGAACGCCATGTGCAGCTCCAGGTGGCGCAGAGCGGGGGCCAGCGGAGGCGGGGGAGGGGCGGGCTGCACGGCAGTAGCAGTGGCCTCAGCGGTGCTTGCAGCCCCGTCGGGTTCGCGGTCAGCCGCGCCGCCCGCGTCCCGTCCCTCCGCGTCTTCTTCCTCCTCGCCCGCCTCCGCCTCCGCCTCCGCCCAATCCCCCAGCAGCGAATCAAGACTCGACACGCTCTTCAGCACCACGTGCGCAAGTCGCGGCAGTGCCAGCAGCGCGGCCGGCAGCGCGCTCACCGACCCGTACGGCGCCAGCACGAGCCGCTCCAGTGACGTGAGCATCCCGATCGACGCGGGCAGCGAGGTAAGCGGCGCCTCGACGATCTCGAGCTCGCGGAGGGCCGGCGCCGCGCCGATATCGTCGGGGAGGGCGCGGAGGCTGCGGCACTGGCGGATGGTGAGGACCGCGAGGCACGCGAGGGAGATGGGCGGAAGGTGGTCCGCGCTGACCTCCTCCAGGCGCACCTCCTCCAGCTTGCGCCACTCCTCCCCCACGTTGGGCAGCGCACACGAAATTTTCCGCAGGTGCAGGCGGCGCAGCTCCTTCAGCGCGCCGATGCTCTCGGGAATGCCCTCCAGGCGGTACCACCCGTGAATTTCCAGCGCCGTCAGCGCGCTTAGCGCGCCGAGCTGCGCGGGGAGCTGGCTCATCTCGCGGCAGTTCGACAGGCAGAGGCGGGACAGCCGCGGGAGCTGCCCGACGGACGCGGGGAGGCTCGTGAGTTTGGGGCAGACGACGGAGAGCTCCTCCAGCGCGCGCAGCGCGCCGAGCTCGTCGGGCAGAACGCGGAGGCGCTTCAGACAGAGCTTG